ATTCTAGTCGAACAACGTGCCGCGAAATTATCGACCAATTATTATTTTTCGAGATAATTAAACAAATAAATCTTAAATCTCTCTAAAAACGGAACGGATACAACGATTTTAATTCCAAATTCATTTAAGAAATATTTTTTTATTTCTTTATTTCTTTTAATTAAAAAAAGCTATGTATGATTTGGATCGATGTTCGGTAAAAAAAAAATTTTTGAAATAATAATACAATACGGCTAAATATTCTCATTGCTCTTTGCCATTAATCATTATTAATTTATGCAAAAAAAAACCTGGTTTTTTTCCAAATGAAAAAACTTTTGTAAGAGATATTGAAAAAGAAAAATAGAAAAAGAAAGAGGTAGAATTAAAAAAAAAAAAAAAACATTTATCAATGATGTATCGACAAAACAATGATTATGAATGATTAATGAATAAAGAAGTCCGATTATTTGCATTCGGGGTGATGGAGTTATCACTAATTGTAACGTAAAAGAATGAAAAAGAAACGAGACGAATCAGCCAATTGCAAAACTCGCGTGTCGCGAATGGCTTAATATCATGGGGGCATATTGACCCAGATAACGACACGTGAGCCGGTAACGTGATCAACCTTCTTGCAACGCAAACAGCCACGAACTTTAAACGTGAACGCGTCTCATCCTCCTCGTGAAAGATAAGTTGCCATGAATTCATAAGAATGGACACGGTGTTTGTATGAAATAAAAGAAGCGGAAGAAGCGGAACTGGATAAAAAAAGACCAGGAATTTTGAATCTTGCATATACGTAAAAAATTGTCCAATGTACCTAATGAAGGAAATCCAAGTACTTAAAGATCAAAAGAACAGAGAGGAGCAGTTTCGTTTGAGATTCCTCGACACGCTTTCTGCTTTTTTTTATGGCATGGCACGCGAGTACTGAAGAGAAAGAATCTAGAGTGCACATGCGCACGGCTTCTCTAAAAGATTCGCCTCGATTAATGCGCTGTAGATGACACTATTCTTGTGACGTGCATGCCACGGAACCACGTCCATCCGTTCCGATTCCACTTCAATTGAAGATCTTTTCATTTTACATTTTGTTTTCTTTAAAATACTCGATACATCGCCATAATACTGACCCAGTTTCTAAACGACTACCATGAATGTAATCATTTCAAATTGATGCGCCCGCAAACTCGGTATGAATTTTTCACATTGACCATCTTTTTTCATCCTGCTTGTGGAAACGAGGAAAATTTCTCGTAAGGGAAATTCTAAAGAAGAAAACTATCGCTATTTAAAATTGAATAAAAAATATATTTTATCAAACGAAAATCGATAAATATAAATCGTATATATACATTGCAACAAATATTTTATTAATTTTAATGACGATTGTTTCATATAAATTTAAAACATATATATTTTTAAGACTGTTAAATATCGAATGTGAAATAAAATTAATCTTAATTGCATCATTCAATATCAGAAAATATCACTACTATTTTTATCGATTTTTCTTCAATGAAAAAATGAAACTAAAATCGAACTTCTCTAATTTTATCATTACATAATTTATATAATTCAATTTAAGAATTAATAAACGATTCCACATTCGTTTCATATATATTTCTTTTATCCATGCCGAAAAAAAACGTCTATTTGAAAATTATCTTTCATGACAAGATGACAAGAACGAATTTATTAATACATAATGCATATTATAATCATTGAGAAAATAAATACTTATATATAATGATAATTATCGAACTGCTGCTTCATGTATGCAATTATGCAAAAATTGATTAAATAAGCTATAATAATTGATTGATAAAAACTTCGTATCATTCATAGAATAAAATTGAAAGGATTTCTCTCTTCATTTTATAACTCTGTATTTTTGAAAGTAGCAGAATGCGAACGAAGAAGTAATGATTTTTCTACATATATCTTTGCACAAAGGCGATTCGCCAAAAATATATCGTATGATGCACGCGATACACGTCTACCGTTCGATATATCGATACGAGGTGCGGCGATTGACACCAACGTGAACGAAAACTTGTTATTTCGGGCCTGTCGATGTTGTATACATAAAGCTTTTGATCTGTTTTAAAAATTCGTCGACGAATGCTTTTTCGAGTATGACATTGAAGAAAGAGCGTCATCATACAAATTATGTGAAACATCGATAACAGATCATGATACACAATATATTTGTATATATCGATATTAGTGAAATTTTTTTTAAAAAGATACCACAAACATTTTTTTCTTTTGAAAGAAATTAAGAAAATTTGGAAATTGAAGTATTTTACAAAAATTATTTTTATGGAAATTAAATTTATATTATTTATATATTATATTATTATAATAAAAATTCTGTTTTTGCATAAGCAAGTATTATAGATATTAAAAAAATATATACTTCACAATTAGAAAGGAAAAAGGAAAAATTAGAAATTAAAAAAAAATCCAATATAATTTATAAATATATAAATATTAATATATAAATATAAATATAATTTATAAAAATTACATTTATATGATTCGAAAAATAATTAAAAAACTATAATTATTCCTGCAAAAATTACATCTGTTAAAATATATGTTGTTTTTATATCCAATGTTTTTTTTAAAAATTATACAAAAGAAAACGAAAATATTATATTTTTTTAAAAATCTGAATTAAAAAATGAAAAAAAAAAACGAGTTCGTAGGAGAAGAAAAAGAGAGAGAGAAAGAAAGAGAGAGAGATTGATTCTTTTACGAAGATTTAAAATAATGAAAATGAAACTATGACAATATAATAATAAATTAATTTTTTTTATGAATTTTTATATGAAACTGATAACAGAGCAAAAGTTTTTGATTTTGTTCTCCTCTCCATTAATAATATACTATTATGGATTCTTTTATTCTCGAAGTATATATCTATAGCTAAATTTTGAAAGGAACTGAAAGGAAGTAGTTCAAATGTCAATTAGATGATATCAATAAACTTCTTTAAGTCGTTTTATGATACTACTCGATATATAATATTTTTTGTAAAAACGATACTTCTCATTAGATATTCTATTTATCCGATGAATCGATCAATAATTAATAATTTATGAAAAATTTCATCCTCTAGTTATATAGGTAAAACGAAAATTTTTGGAGACATAGTAAAAAAGAATTTTATATTTATATTCAAAGAATGATAAAGCTTAGTTTTTAAAATAGTTAAGAATAGTTAATCTGTGTAATTAAAGATTGTTATAAATAATAATTAATTAATAATTAGTAAACAATTTTTTTATTAAAAATTATCAAATGATAAAATAGCATATTGAATATAAAATTGTTTGCATTTACATAATTATTGAAGCAGACAGAAGCTCAAAAATTAAGTTTTTGGCAATAATATGTACATTTATATGCTTATTTAAAAAAAAATTGCTTATCAATATATATAAAGAATTATAATATATTCAAAAAAATGATTTGCTTTTTTGTAAAGAAATCAATTGTCATGCTGTGATATTTTGCAAAAGAAAATATTTAAGTGAAATTTCTAAATGCTTTTAATTATGAGAAATGAATGCATTACTTTAATCTTAACTTTACTCAATAATTTTAGTTGCTATTATAGAAAAGTTATTATAAATATTAAAGCTATTATAGAAAAGAACCTAAATCTATAACCGATTAAAAGCAACCTTTCATATAAGTAGATACTATTTTTGGTAATAGAGATTGCATAAGCTTCTTGTCAAAGAAACGATACTATATTGCTTGAACTTTTTTGTTGCCAGTCATTGTTGCAGAATGAAATTAAAGATGAAATTAAAACAAATATTGGCAAGAATTTGATAATAATTTTAGAGTTTTGAGCACTTTGCAATATAATTTTATATAATTTGTATAATTTATATAATTGTATCTTAAGGTTTTATTTTTTTATCATAATAATATATATAAAGTGAATTCTAAAAGATATTATTACTCGATATACTTACTTCTTGAGTAATCGAGTTGTAAAAAAAGTTTCAACAAAAAATTATGATAAAAAATTCTTAATATTCTATATATTTCAAACAAAAAATATTGAATTTCTTTTCTATTGTATAAAAAATATATTAACTTGAATTTCAAGATTACATATTCAACATCTTATTAAATTTTTATTCACAATTATATATTTAGAAAATCATTCCAGAATTCCTTAAAAAATTCATAATCATGCAATCAACTTTGTTTAACATGCCAAGACTGGACATAGGTTAGGTCAAGCAACTATCACTTTCAAAACTTGATATATCCAATATTATTGATTTATGTTAGAAAGTACTATACTATTGAAATATTGAAATCATTAAAAACTGAATATATCCATGCAGCGGTATCAGCCGAATACAATGTTTAACATCCCACAAATTTCACTGTCATGTCTCTACACACTTTATGATCAATATTCTACTGGAACCATCTACACTTTCTACGTCACAACATGTTCAAGAATATACGTAACAGCGATTTCTGGCGAAAACGATTGAGAAGCGCAGGATTCCTGTGGATGACACCCGCAAATTAGATCGCGTTTTCACGATGCGGACGATAATGAAGAAGACGCGAGAATAACCGTGGTACGCGTGTCGCGTAAACATCGGATTCAGCAAAAGCCGCCAAAATCGAGAATTACGAAGGTGGTATCCGAAGAACAGCATTGGATAAAAAAGTGATGATCCCCCCTACCCTCTTCCTCGGGCACCCGCTCCATCGCTTTCCCAAGAGTAACCCAGGCACTTGCACGCAGACGCACAGCTCTGCATTCGGAGACGGCCGACAGGCAAACGAGCGAAACGGCAAAAGAGCGCGGTAAGAGGGGCAACAAGTGAGGAAGGGGATCTCTGGGAGGGAGACTCGAGGAAGAGAGGTATAGTGCGGGGAAGAATATGGGATAAAGAAGAGGGGAGAAATCCGAGAGAACCGAGTAAAAGCTATGTGCTAGAGGTTAAGGCATGTTCTACGGTACTCACTGCTGACTCTCATGCCACCCAGGGGCGGATTCGAGGGCGCGTTAGTGCAATCGGCAAAGGAGGTGGTCCTCGGTCGGCTGCTCATTCTGAAATCTTCTTGACCCGCTTCTCCACCGCCACCTGACAGTCAAAACTTTAGAATGATATGCCGCTTCTGCTTCTTCCTCTGCTGGTCGCCGCCTCGGCTGGCCGTGCCACTTCCTCACGTGAAGATAGCCAGCAGTGCGTCTTCGTCGTCGCCGTCGTCGTCGTTGTTGTTATCGTCGTTGACACCACCTCGGACATCAATGACAGCACGAACGATAATTACATCGCACGCACGCATGCACGTCCGCACGGTTCGGTTCTTCTATATTACGCCACGGCCGCGCTCGATCGATGGATGGAGGGAGAGAAAGAGAGTGAGATAGGATAACACGCGAAAGAAGAGGGAGAGAGTGAGAGAGAAAGAATAAGAGAGGAAGAAGGTGGGAGGAAGGGAGGGAGGGAGGGATGGATGGATGGATGGATGGATGGGAAGGAAGAGCTACGGGCGAGCAAAGCGCGCGCAAGATCGAGAAAACGGAAAGCACGGCGAAGAACCGTGATTCACAATCGTTATAATCACTATAAAACAAAGAGAAGAAAATTCTCTTGGAGAAACAGCGTTGGTTGAAATTTTTGATCACTGTCAAACACTTCCTTCCAAATATATATGCTCCCGTTACCACTGACAATAGTGGCGGTGGCAGTGACGGTAGCGACTCTCGCGATCAAAACGTTTATCGTAACACAGCGCACACTGGGTTATACGCTCCGTTCGCACAAGCAACTTCGCGCGACAGGCTTGCCCGCCGATACGATTCACTCGATGCTCTTTTTCTCGTTTCTCCGATGAATGCTCACCACCGATTACGATACACCGCGTCGATGGCGTCCAATTAACAAATTGACACAATTTATGACAATCTTTCGTATTAACTGCTGACTGTCAGGGAATATCATGCACGAAGAGCGATTTTACTACCTAATAACTTGACGAGGGCGCGGAGTGTTGCGGAGCTATACCGCGAAGGGAGGCAGGGGTTGACGTTTTTGGAACGGTTCGTACACGTTCGCCAGTGGAGGCACACCGCCGCACTTGGTAGCTTTCCTATATAGTACAACTCCACGATGATCCGGTTGACGGGTCGAATTTCTTCGTCGTTTATAATAATCTCCTTATGTATCTAATTGTAGTCACTCTAGGAATTGTGACAATTTCAATTTTTCCTCTCTTCAACGATATCTATTAAAGTTTTTTGAGTTACATTGTATTTTTCTACTTGTCTTCTCCTTTTTGCTTTAATAGCATCGTTGATTATTTTTCTCCCTTTCTCTCACTCGTTTTCTTCCTTTCTCTATCACTTATTCTCTCTACTGTTTTCTCTCACTTCTACACTCCTAGTTTTGGATCGTGCGGGGGAAGCGTTACTCTCTTACCTCCACTACCACTCTTTCTCACTCGCTCTATCTTTCTCGATATACTTCGAATCTTGTCACTACTCGTCACTCCTACGTTTCTTAACTTGTCAGGCCGGACGTTATCAACTTGCCAAGCTAGTACACGCTTCGTCGCAAACACTTTTGTGCTATACGGAGAAACAAGCAGGAATCGTGCTGACGCCGACGTGGACGTCTTCGTCGTCGTCCGTGTCGACGTTGCTCGAAGGGAGATCGTCGTCACCGTCGTTTTCCACCTCTGCTTTCGATAATCGTGAAATCACTATATAACTGAATGTCGCTTCGAGCCTGGCGGCGGGAAAGGGGTAAAGGCGCAACCTGGACGTACGCGGCAAAATCAATTCTTGATAATCAACGACGTTTTCTCTTTCTCACCGTGCACACGAACACCAAACCACTTACGAATTTTTCGAAGCCTCCTCAGACATTGACCCGTTCGGGATAGATCGGGCCACTCGAATGTCGACGGACATTGCCGAAAGTGACGTCAGTAATACCCCGCCCTGCCTCTTACCCAGCGGTTCATCCTACAGCAAGTGGGATGGCGCTGTGATCACATATACCATCGTCATCTTGTGGCAATTTTTGATATTATAAAAGTTGAGCGGGAAAATTAAGTGTTAATTATATTTAACACTCATTATTTTATTCGGATACATACATTTATTTATTGATATATTCTATTAAATTTATTATTTTTTAAGAATAACGATAAAATAATTGATTTTTTATAATTCATTTAAATTTAATAATCATATTTTTAAATTATTATTTATATAATATATATTTTATATATATAATGTATATAATTTAAATATTAAATGCGTGATTATTTTTAAAAAGACCACGATTGATAATTTATAATTATCATTATATTTTTAATTTTATTATTGAAAATTAAATAATAAAGTTTTTATTATTCGAAAAATTGAATTCATTATTGCTAATACAAATTTTAAATATATTTCATTTAAAGAAACAAATATATATATATATATATATATATATATACATAGAGATATGTATATATACATCTTACATATGTGTTTCATCCATGAATATCAAAAATAGTACTAAAATTTTGTATAAGGTATAGGTATAGACAGAAAAGATGTATAGACAAAAAATGATATCATTGTTAATCAATATAAGATATCATCGACAAAATAGTTAAATTGATTATACTATATAATAATAATTAAATATGAAATCATTGAAAACATGAATGACTTATAATATAGATCATATGCGAAACAGAATAGACATAGCATTTCTTTAGAATCTCTTTACCATTTTAGTATCATTCTCAACATTACCGATTTAGCATAGAATAAGATTATAATATCACTGGTGGTTAGAATTGAAATTAAATTTTAATATTAAATTATAAATATAAAAATATATATATTATAATTACACAATTCTATATTATTATTATAATTATAATTTTTATTAAAATATTAATCAAAAATAAAAACTGCAAAATTCAATTAAAAAAAAAGAAAAATCGATAATTTTTTGTTAAAATAATAAATTTGTTAAAGTAATGTGTTTTTATATTTATTTCTGCATTTATCTATTATAAAATTTATAAATTATTGTACTTTTTACTTTGTTGAAAATATATTTTATTTATTAAAATTGTTAGACATTATCTAATAAACATTAACTATTTATTATAAATATATATAAATTATTTTTTTATCATGTTTAAAATTTTTTTAATTTATTTATATTTTATGTTCATATTTTCTTTTTTATTACATATTTAATTTAATATTAGATTTTTATATCAAATCAATTTTAATAATTAATTTTTTTTATAATAAACAGATTTTCAAAAAATTTCGATTTTAGAAGGATTTTGATGAGAAATTTTATAATTAATGTATATAATATTTCAATTTTTGCGCGATTTAAGTAAATAACAAAACAACTGCATCGTTCAAGCCAATTAGAGAGCAGCTAGTAAAACCTGTTGCGCTCGGCGTTATTTTTCTGTCAAAAATCATCGTGATGAAATGTGTCACCGATTTAACGTGCGTGATTTCAAATAATAATAATACACAATAAGTAATTCTATTCATATTATTCATATTCACATGTTACTGAATTTATATTATTTTACTTTTAACTTTATTTATTAATAATTTAGAAATCATTATAAAAACGAAATTAATTAATATTTTAAATTTCTTTGTATTTTTTTCTTCAATTTTCTATTCGATTGTTGAGGTTATCTGTAATTTATGTTTTTTTGAACCAGAATTTCAATTTATTTGTTGCTTTATTTTAATAATTTTAATAATTTCAAATTTATATATATTGTTTTGTATGATTTTATCATACATTACGACGATTTGTAATTAATGATTTTATATAATATATTAAGTAACATATAATTTCTTTTCATAAAAGCAGAAGTATTTAAAATAAGTTTCCATTGTCTCTTTTTTCATTTATATTAAAATAAATATGTACATGTACATATATAATTACTTTATTATAATTTTATTTTATAAAATTAAGTTATTTTAATATCTATAACAAATATTTTTTTCTAAATATTAATACTTAAATATAAATATTTTCTATATTTTTATTAATCATATATATTTATTTCTTATGTTATGTTTATATTTATGTTTAAAACATTTTTCATATTTAATACAGTTTTTTTAAAAAATTGAAGCATTGTGTTTATATATTTCAATTTGTTATCGAATTATCGTTTATTTTAATTTGTTGTAAACTATTGATTTTCTTTGTAATTTAATAATTTGTGATTAATAAAATGTGAATAATTTAATAAATTGTGTAATCGAAATCGTGGTACGAGTTGCATTGTTTTTAATTGTAATATTTCATTTTTATAAACGTTCGTTTTTTCTTGTGATGTTTGCTGGTGCATTTATTTCCATATTTATTCTTTATTATTATTCAACTCAATACATGTTTCTTATTATAATTGGAAATTATCTGGTAACTAAATTGTTCTTTTCTCTTCATTCATCTGTATAATGATTAAATTTACAGATATCTATGTTATTATAAAAGATGAAATTTATTTTTAAATATTATTTTATTCTTATATAATCAAATAATTCTATGCATTTTATGCATTCATTTGAAAATTTTTCTTTTTTTTTTTTATGTAGGTTATTAATTGACAGATTGAATATCTTGAATAAAAACAATAAGGCGGGAAAAATTTCAATATGGATATTGTAACGATTAAGCGATAAAGTTTCTTTTTTATTTTTTAATAATCTTGTTTTTAGGAAAAATATCATATTTAATATTTTATTTTTTGTTAAAGATATTGACAATCTTTATGAAAATTTCCTTCGGATTTTAACATTGAAGAATATTTATGACCGGTCTGTACTTGCTTCGTAATAGTATATTTTTTTTAATATTTTTAAAATTTCAATTCGATTATAATAATTTTTCATGAAATTAGAATCAATGATTGTTTGCTTATTATAATTATTATAATTATAAATCAAGTTTATAGCTTTTTTTTAAATTTTTTTATACAAATATTCGTTTTTGCTGCGTATCCAAGTCAATACTTCTCTCAAAAAAATATGCCAATCATCCATCACGCGAGGAGGTAATCTTTGTACATTTTTTACCAACTTGCAGATCTTTTCTTATTTTAATTTTTTTCATATAATTTATACCGTATTTTAAATTATCATGTACATTTTCTTATAGATATTTTTTTTTTATATTGACTTCGCAATGATATCCTATGGTAGCATGATTACAACACAATATCTTCGCATCAATGGTAAAATTTAAATTTGAAAAATCGAGGGCGAAGCTGAAACGAATGGACAGTGCCATTCGTTTCTGGCTTCGCTCATCTATTTTTCGAATTCCGTGGTCGCAGTCGCGAAGTTTTCGATTTCGAAACGAATTTGCGAAACGAAATTTTGCACATGTACAGATATCTGTCATTACGATCCTTGATGTACATGTGCAATGTACGTTTAGCTTCCGTTATTTAGTTTTTTCTTTATTATTTTTTTTTTATCCATTAATATCCATTAATAAGTATCTTAAGTTTTAACAAGTGTAATGTCCAAAGAAAAACGAAGAAATCCATCAAAATGTCACGAAGAATGCTGCTTCTCATTTTTTTGAATCTTGTTCGAATCCAAAGAATAGGAAGTCATTGTTATTACTTTGTCATTATGTTCGTTTTAGTAATACGTATTAATTATTGTTTGGTCGATTGCATGTCAAATTACCGAATCTAATCATCTTGAGCATTATAATTTTGTATTAATGTTGAGATAAGTAAATTGCAAGTTAAATTAGTGTTGCATTTAAAAATATCTTTTGTTTTGAATTAATATTACGATAAAACGATGATCGCGTTTGCTATAGTATTGCATTATTAAAAATATTGCGATTACCTTTAATTATTTTGATTCTTGAATTATTATATTTTTTTTTTAATTTGTATTAAATTCATTTTACGAATTAAATATTACATTGATACATGATCATGTTCTTAAAGTTGTGTTGTATTTTTATAAATTGTCCAAATTTCTTGAATCATTAAATATACTCTTGCCTCTGAATCACCTATTGCAAAAATGTTGCAGAAAAGTGATTGTATGACGGCAGCCTTTGATATGGTTGCGATCTTCTGTTGTTAATGTTTTAATAAAATATAAGTGTATAAATTAGTTTATCTATTAGAATTTCTAAATAGTTATAGTAAATAGTTAAAATATTTTGTGAACGACGTATTTTTTTCGGGAATCTTCCATCTTTTTTTTTTACTCAAATCAAGAATTGAATTACAGTTAACAACGAAGCACTTTGTGATTTCTTTTTTTTTTTTAAATTTAATATATTAGTGTTACAAAAGAAGAAAGATATTTATTCGAATTTATATTATAGTATAGAAAAATAATAATATATTATTTTTCGAGTAAAGTTTTACCTACTTGTCTTTTTTTTTTTTAGTTTTTTATCTCCCTTTACATTATTTAGTCACCGATATCTATGATAATAGAAATAATAGTAATTATTTATATGTTGGCAATATTATAATTATTTTACAAATGATAGATTCTTTTATCGATAAAATCACGTTCCATGTTATCATGCGTCGATATTATTGTTATAGTAAAAATCGACTTTAACGTCATCTACCATATCAAAGCCATACTGCCATCTGGTGACAATTTTTCGCAAAAACAATAGCATGGGCGAGAGAATCCCCACTCTGAGTGGGGCAGTCTCCAAAGCGCGGGCTAAGGTTCAAGTTGCATTTTAGATGCGAACGAATGCACGTCGTTTTCGGTTAGTGGTCATGAACTAAGTTTCGTGAAATTTGACAACTTCTGCGAAGGGAAACAGAGTCGAGTGATTGTAATATTTCGTTGTGAACTCTACGATCCATAAAGTTGGGTAAGTCTCACAGTGACATTTCTTCATACGAGTGATCGTTTTTTTTTGACGGGTAAAAATATTAACCGTTTCATCGATTCTTATCGCAAACATTCTCGCCTCTCGATGATTCTACACGCGTGTTGCATAATAACATCATTACGTTTTTTTGTGATATTTATCGAACGAAATTATTATATTTACCGCGTTAAATTGCACGTGGAATTGAAATACGGAGGCGAAACACATCCGGCATTACGTGATTGCTTGAAAGCCGGACAAATCATATGTAATTCGAATTAATGTCAACGGAAGTCGTTGAATGTACGTCGAGTGTATTCGGTTGTTGCGGTAGTGCGTATCACATGTGATAGTCGATTCACTCGATATTCACTCGATAGTCGATTCAATGTCGTACAATGTTTTTTCATAAGTTTCGATCGATATTAATCGATAACTGTTTTAAATGGAAAAGTTGAAGATATACGGAATAATCGTGAAACATCGAACAGAGACTATTCGTGAGGTCTATTATATCGTCAATGATCCAGTGATTAGATATTTCGAAAAAAGCTTATCGATACATGAAATGATAAATTGGCTCGTTCTGTGGAAAAGTCACGTAGTTGGCTCGCAGCTTACGCTTCGATCGCTCGTTAAAAAAGGATTAATCCGAATGATTATCGTTATCAAACGATCGAAAAGTATTACGCGGCAACATCGCCGAGAAGTTCTCATTTGTCTCGCCAAATTATTTCAGCGGTAAAGATTTATTTGGTAAAAAAAAAAAGCTGTGTGCTAATTATCGATAAAAGAAATTGTAATATTCTATGGAAAGGAAGATAAATTATGGGAAAGAGAAATTATTTATCGATCGACTTAATCGATTAATATCTATTTATAAACACAAGCTATTTTTCTATAACGAAACAAATCCATTAAATTTTCGAGTCTTTTTTCACTTTTCACTCTATTGTTTTTACGAATTTTATCAGCGTCTCTTATTTCATTCCATTACCGTTGTTAATTTCTCATTACGGTGATAATTAAATGAAACTGTGGCAACCGTACACACGCGTACGTGGCATGTGGAGTATGCAATGCTTCCTACTATTATCCGTGGTTTCAGATATTCGCAAAAAAAAGGGGTTTCGAGGTTGGGATGACACTCTGTATATTATTTTGTACGGGATGTACGTTTTTTTCTTTTTTTTTTTTTTTTTTTTTTNTTTTTTTTTTTTTTTTTTTTTTTACATTATATTTTCGAATCGTGCGGTTCGCATTGGATGCACGCGCCCGTTTGCATGCACGGTCGCGAGGAATCCGAAATGCTATTCGACCGGCATAATCCGGCCAAGCATCGCCACTAAATTACCATTCGAATTGATTTCGACGGCACAGCGGCGGCATTACCGCACCACCGATGCCGCGATTTATTTGGAAATCGTAACAATGCCATTTTCATTGAACGGTATCCGGTCGCGGTATAAGGTCCGCTCCTATTGTCGATGGGATGAGGCCGAGTTCCCCGCGTCTAATGTTCATCACTGAATTCCGTCTCGTTATTAACCGTGATACTGGGGATCGTGTTTCTACAGTACGCTCGGCCACTCGCTCCATTTTCCGACCGAAAGATAATTACGATTTATACGGTAAAATAATTAACGCTAATAATTATACCACCCTCGTACAGGGAACGATCCAATCAGATTTTTTTCCTCCCATTGTACAGTACGTTTTCAAGGTTAATTTCGGCTTTTTACTACACAAATTATAAACAGATTTCGTACAATGATGATTTCATGATGATATTTTATGATATTTGCCGAGCGTGGATACATTGAAACACGGAATGAAAAATGTTACGTGTATTAGAAGCGATAAAAAGAATTGATTGACATCGCAATAGAATAATTTTAAAAGTGATCACGTAACCGTGTATTTTTATAAATTGTTGAAACGAATTGGATAAAACGTTGTTCATGGCAGTTTCAACTTTCCATCTCGTAGATATTGGAAATTGCAATCGCTCGTTGTGTTATTTGTTTGTAAATAAACAAAAAAAAAAAAAAAAAAAAAAAAAAAAAATTAATTGCGAAGAGTCGAAAAAACGGCATCGCTTTTAAACGGGAAAGAACAATATTGTTTTTACGAAGTTGAAAAAACAGTATTCATTTCGAAACATAAAAAGTTAATATTTTTTTTCGTTATCGAAAAAAAAAAGTATATCGTCATTAAAATTGCATTATGTCGTTGCAATTCACAATTTCGGCGAAACATATAATTTTCACCGTTGAAAATAACGAAAAATCACTCTTAAATTCGTTCGAAGAAGATAAATCTTGAAAATCTTTGTCCCCCGTCCGTGGGATTAAAAGTTTACGTAAATAGCACAGATTCCTGACGACTCGATTCGCACGATTCTATCGTTCTCGAGCATTGGGCCGCAGATGCATCTTCTTCTCTCCCTTCTGCTTACCCTTCTCCGTCACGCGCGTGCATTTAGAAAAACTGCTAATCTCAGCTGACCGTTCTTACACAAAAACTCGTTGAAAAGTTTCGTATCGAAATCGATATCGCACAAAATTTCCCGCTTTTCTTCTCATTTTTCACTCATGCCTCCATGTTCAAGACACGCGTTAAATGATATTTAATCGGAATCTCCGTATATTATTCGAATGATCGTTCGAAATATATATAAAATATTTCAAAAATGAAAAGTGGTTGATGTTTACATTTATCGATGCGTAATATAATAATTTTGACTTACGATGATTGGAACGGAGGATAAATGTATAACTCGTTTCTGGAAACAATGGAATGTAATTACAACGAGCGAAAAAAAATAGATCGTAACTTTTAGAAGAAAAACGTTAGTAGTTACGAGGATAAAATTGGCGGGTATCTCCTCATTACTTGTCATACTCTTAGAACGCGTTTTCAATTTGAATTAGAATCCTTGGCGTTCGTAAGTGGGCGATAAGCGGAGACGGAAGATCGAGCTGGGTTGAAAATTAGCGGATGAGAAGGAGAAGGGGGAAGAAGACGCGGGACGGTTGGGTGACACGCTCTCGTATTTTTCCAGCCTAACGAGATTTCAACGGCCGCTTTAGGGTGTCGTGAAAATCCTTTCAGTGGGCACGGATCGGCCGTATTGTTAGCCAATGTGCCTCGCGAAACACGGATTCGATTGTCCCCCTTTTTCATTTTCTTTCTTCTTCCCTTCGCCAATTCCCTTTCCTCCCCTCTCCCCTTTCCTCCCCTTTCCCTCTCTCCTCCTTTCGAAATCGTGTACAGGATCAAGACTGATCCGCTGATCGAATTTATTTACCGTGCTCCGTGCTCTCTTCAACTGAATTTAGAGCCGCTAGAGTTCGTTCCAGGGCGGCTATATACGCGCGTATAAAGAGAATCGTCTTTGCACTCGGAATATTTATAATCGTCTCCTTCTTCGCTTTCTTTTTTTTTTTCTCCAAGTATTAACATTAACGCTAATGATCCCTTTATCCTTTTAATCATCTCAGGAGATTATGCACGAAAAAAATACACGATAATCGTCTCGCAGTTTCACCAAGGATCTTTGTAAATTCGATTACAAATTAAGTAATCCTCCCCCCCTCTCTATTCTCTGTCTACGTTTTCAAGTTTCTTTCAATACGATGTATGAAACGGCTCGTTTTAATCCCGTTGGCGGGATATAATGGAAATCGATACGGAATCGTCGTCGTCGTCGTCGTCGTCGTCGTCGTCGTCTCGTTAATAAACGAAAGGCAAGAAGATTTATCGCGTCGGATATTTGAATGTACACGGACGCCAGATTACGATCCTTCCCCCGGCCTTATCAAACCTCTTACGAAAGTCTTGGCAAACTTCGTCTCTGAAAACGATTCGAAACCTCCCTTTGAAATTGTTCGAGTTGCATGCACGTTTATTTATCCGAGCGAAGGGCAAGGATACCGTCGTTTTTCTTATACCTTCTAATACCGTGTAATCGCGAGGCATGGACATTTCGTAAGACCTGTAAACCGATTACACAAATTAATGGTTTCAAGTTTTACGCTTTAGTAGTACGTTTAAACTAAATATAGACACAGTTGTTTATTTTCTGTATCTTATTTATCTCGCAGTTTCACGAGTGGTGAATTGATTTATCGAACGAAAAAAAAGATGTTCTTTGTTGTACCGTTCAGTGAGTTAAAAAAAAAAAAAAAAAAAAAAAAAAAAATTGATATTTCTACGAGTACGATTTATTTTTCTTTTTTTTTTTTTTGTTTGGTGTTCTTTACATGGAACGAAAAAAAATTGGGGGGAAAATAGAAAGAAAAAAAAAAAAAAGGAAAAAAGACGAAGCGAAAAGAATAGTTTGATTTTCGATCGCAATCATTGGAAAATAGAAAAAAAAAATATATATATATATATATATTTGGATCGATAGAAATCGGGGAAACGACATACCTTGCAGTCTTTACCGTGGTATAATCACGATGCCAGGCGGTGTTGCGCGTGACGGGTCGCGATCAAATAAACCGTTTCGTCAATGTTTGTTACATACAACTTTGCAACTTTGTTAAAAACTGCCACCGGCCGAGTACTTTCATCGGTGCCCGTTTATTTCAAGCTGGGACGTTGTTTTGCTCGATTTTGCTTTTGAAAGTCAACGCTGCCGCGATATCGTTACGCGCTCGCTTCACCCTCGACACCCCCTCTCCCCTCCTCTCTGCGTCCAATCTCCCGACACGTGGAAACACGCCCGAGTTTTTTCCCCGAGTTCCGCCAACAGGTTCGCGCCAGCACGAGGGAGCAAGTCGCGCGATTATTTGTCCCAATTTCTCTCTCTCTCTCTCTCTCTCTCTCTCCCATCCTTTCTCCGTCCGTCCGCGTTTACGCATCTCCCCTCCTTTAACGCGAATAAGCCTTGAATTTTTCCCTCCTCTGTCCTTTTCCCTGAATGTCGCGGTACATTCAATTTTTAACCTCCCCTCCCTTCCCCTTTCCTTCGAATTTCCCGTTCCGCCATTCGT